TATATAATGGACTACTACTCAGCTATAATGGATAAATGAGACATCTGTAGGAAAATAGAGTCACCTGGAAAATATTATGTTAAATAAAATAAACTGACATAGTCTCAAATATCGTATGTTATCTGTTGTTTGAGTAAGGCAAAGTACAAAGAGATGGATAGAAGGAGACAAAAGCATGGATCTCTTGCAAACACGAAGGAGTCCCAGAGGTCAAAGGAGAAGGGGGAGAGGGGAGGGGAGGTGGAAATAGGTGGAGCAATTTAAGCCATGTGCAAGATCTCAACAACTTCAATGAATGTGAACACTGCATGCCACAAACATGAGGTAAGATTAACGATATGAATGGTAATAAGAATAGGGAAAGGTAAATTAGAGGAGGGGTTAGGGGATTTTAAAACAGGGAGCAGGTTGTATAAGTACATCCCCAAGATTACTGTAAATTGCATACATTCCAAGCACATACTAATGAAAAATTGAAAAACCAGTAGATGTTTTAGAATTATATCAAAGATTGAAAGATTACAAAAAGTAACTAACAAAGAATAGACAATATGATCCATTATTTTTAGTCAAATTATTTTCTTATTACTTAGAGTTAGACCAAAAAGCAAGACTGAATTAGTTGAAATTTTTATTTTGAAAAGTTAATACACTGCAAATTCTCAATACAAATATATTTTTTTGTAATTTATGAAACGACAAAGAAAAATAGACATCATAACATCACTAAACAGAGAAGAATAAGGTATCGTGTACAGTCATTTCCACAGTTTACCTGAAGACCGAAAATATTAAATTTTAATGTAACTGTAGCTTACTGTTTCATTATCATGTCCATACAGTAAATTTTATAATTTAATTTATGAATATATTTCAGAAAATTTATAAACCAGTATTAAAAACCCACTGGTTAATTCATCTTATTTGGAGAGGTAAAGTTTGGAAGTACATAATTTTTAAAATCCTGAAAGAAATTAGAAATTCTACCAATGTTTCTTAAAGCACAAATAAAACAAAACATTCAGGGATTAATTGTAATTATTGTGATAGTTTTGCAGATCATCAGAAGCAGCCTTCATTATTATGAAATGAATTTGAAAATGAATGATAAGGTAACATAACCCCATATTTGACTATAGTAAAATGCTTATTTATTGATTTAATGATTAAAACATGCATTTAACATCTATTATATATAAACACTTCATATATAAGCATCAAAATAGTTTCATATTTTACATTTTAGTACCTTCACTTTTCTGAATATACTAAAATACTAAAGAGTTCAAATTGCCAGTCCTATTAAAGAAAATGATCCTGCTTATTAGCTTGTTGCTTGCAATATTGTATAAGATAAAAAATAATTCATAAGGAGTAAAAATTATAAATTTTCAGTACTGTATTTTCCAGCTTACATCTTGAAAACACATCTATATAATGGAAAGTCATTTCACTCTGACTAGTTAAATACTAATGTCTTATTCCAAATTATAAAACCAATTAATTTTCAGCTAAAGAAAGTGATTTATAGCATTAATAGCTTTACTCTTCTGTAATTTATCCTAAGTTACCTAACTCCTCTGAGTCCTGATTTTGCTACCCAAGAATGTAAGAAAATAACCTTTGTTCTTCTTCCAGCATATGAGGGTGTTCAGAAAGGCTTCACATCAAATTAAAAGTCTCTTGCAAAGCAAAAGAGACAACTAACAGAGTAAGAGGAAAGCCTACCAAAAAAGGGCAAATATTACCCATTCTTTAGACAGAGAAGTAATGTCAAGAATAAATTAAAAACTCAAAAATCAGACTGTCAGCAATATAAAAAACTCAATCAAAATATAAACAAGTAAAACAAATAGACATGTCATAGAGTAAGAACTAAAAATGGCCAATGAATAGTTGAGAAAATGTTCATTATCATTGGCCATTAGAGAAGTACAAATTAAATAACACTGTGACTTCATCTTATCCCAGGGAAAATGATCATAATCAAAAAATCAAATAATAAATGCTGACAAGGTTGTGGGGAAAATAAATATTGTATACATCACTGGATGCAATGTAAACGACTACTATTACTATGGAAATCCGTATGGAGAATTTTTACAAATCTAAAACAGAAATTCCATTTGTCCCACTTATTACCCTTGTAGATATCTTTGAAAAAGAGATAAAGACATCGAACCTCAGAGATATGTCCATACCCATGCTGACAGCAGCACAATACATAATTGTTACACCTTGGAAATGGTTTATAAGTCCACCAACAGGAGAATGGATAAAGACAATGTGACATTTACATACAATGGAGTACTCTTCTGCCAAAAATTAAGAAAAACATGAGTCATTTGTAGCAAAATAAATGCCCCTTGAGACCGTAAATGTAAGTGAAAAAAATCAGACACACAGGCTTACATATCATCTGGTTTCCCTTATATAAAAAGCCCAAAGTATAAATAAAGGACAAAATAAAAGATAGATAATAGGAAATATGGAGCTAGATCTTTTGCAAATGGGAAAGGGTTCAAAGGACAAATGTAGGAGGGCTGGAGGGGCGAGAAAAGAGAAGCAAAAAAGGAATTAATATATGTTATGTACATGTACCAAATTCACATGAGAAATATAAACATTATGCAATGCAAACACGTCCAGAAGAAATATAGAAACTGACACCAGGTGAGACTTGATGTCAACTGAAATAATTCTGCAACAGATAGATTAGCTGCCTATAAGAACTCAGAGAAAATATACTCTCATAAACATGTGTTGTACTCTTAAGAAAATAGCTTCGTTATATGTGTATTATAGCAAACCTGCAAATGTGGCTTACTAAATGTGTTTTTTTATCCTTTTTCCCTAACTGATATGTTAAGTGACCTAATTGATATGTTGAGCAATACTCTCCTCTGTAAAGAATTGCAAGAATCTCACCTAATTGATATGTTAACCATTGTTGCCCTCTACAAACTACAGAAGTTGTGCTAAAACAAGCTAACAAGGGTTGTTAATCACTATTAGGTGCCTCTATTCTCCGCTAAAGAGCTAAAGGAAACTAGAATGGCCTATTAATTTACACTTGTTTAAAGTAACCTGCTTGTGTGCAGAGAGATTTGCATATGAGTTTAGCCCTTTACCTGACCTTGACACGTAACCGTCATTTTCTGTTCTGTATGGCGCCTTATTGCCTCCCTCTCCCCTCACCTATCTATCTAGGCCATAAAGAATTTGGGACCTCTTCCTGACCCGGTGATGATCTGTCATAAAATGAGCCTGCTGCAAATTTTAAGAACTGTTTAGCTTCAAAGAAATTACGGGGAAATACTATGGCCCAAATCCCAATTGGTGCTTTCCTTTTGTTCTGTATGCATCAAATGAGTTAGATATCAGATCTTTGTAAAACTTAAGTTTCAGCTTTTTGTAACTCTTGACCCCTTCGCACCCACTAGTAAAAACGAGCTGTCCTGGGATAATTAACTGTCCACTTTCTTCTCCAAATATTGCTGCAGATGTGCCACTTCGAGATAATGTCAGTCTGCAGGATGGGAGTAATTTGAGAAACACCAGGAACTCCCGAGATTGTCAGAGCTAAGTGGACAGCAATACAGTTTCCAGACTTGGGTCAACAAGATTGATGGCTCTGCAGGTTTCTTTGTTTCTCCCCCCACCCTTTTCCTCCAGCCTCTTTTTAAAGTCCTCCCTTCAGTCTCTGGGGGCAGTCTCCAAATTGGCTCCCGGAGACTTGTCACCAGGCCTGGAAATAAAGCCTTTGCTACCTAAATTTTCGGTCTCTGGTTTCCTTGGATTTTATACCGGGGCACGAGTTATAACAATAAGTTAATGTGGTGTTAAGTTGGTGTTACATTCCCAGTAGAAGGGAGTTAATTGAAGGCCGATATTCACTGAAAAGTAAAGAATGAATGATACTTTAAAAACTGTGCAGAAATTGAACAGTTTGAGGAGTAAAAAGAGTTTAGAAGGAAAAAACCAGACAGATGCATAAAAGCATGAGGGACAGATGTATGTGCTTGCAATGTAAACAATCTTAGTGCCCCCCCCCAAAACACAAAGGGGGTGAGTAAAATGCATAAGAGAAAACTGGAACAATGTTTAAAAAAACTTTACAGACTTGAAAAGATACATAAAAGGAAAGAAATATATAATATCACACCTTAAATACTTAAAATTTCAAACATTAAGCAAAAGGGATTTAACTTCAACTATAAATTTTCCACAAAGAAGTATTTTTAAAGCATTTCACACATTTTTAATGAAAGAAATTAAATACCATGGCAATTTCCCTTAGTAAAATGGATGAATGAATAACATTAGGTATTGGAGAATGTAGAACTGACTTTGTTTTCTGAAGTGATGGAGCATAAAGCAACATAACAGCATGTACAATATAATGCTCAAAGATAAGCTTTAAGAAATTTGAACTTTCAAATTGTAATTAATAAGCAAAGAAAATAACACAGCACAATATTTTATATTGTTAGTTTCAAACTTGCCAGAAAATTCTGAAGGGTAGTGCAGATAGTCTACAGTCAAGTGATTCAACATTCAGTTTCCTATTCAAAGAAAAGAGATTCTAAAACCCTCAAGAAACCACTGATAGAACACTATACAGATCACCAAGAGCTGAAATATTTAATAAAGGAACTTTCATCAAACTAAGAGCTAGAATAAATGTCCATGGGGTAAATTCATAATGTTGTAGGGTTGTTTTTCCAATTGAATTCAAACAAATGTTAGAAAACTGATAAATCAATGAAAATAGGAATATCAACTTTAACTGTAGTTTGTATAAATTTTGAAACAAAAATAGCAAAAAGCAGACTATAACAAAATATTTTATTGTGTTTTAAGTATTAGATCTTTCCTTTTGACAGAACTTGAACACTGCAACATTGAACAAGGCTCTGGCTGGTAGGTATAATTTTCAAGTAAAGAAAAACATTATTACAATTTCATTCATATAGCATATATTGACCCTTAACACATACCTGAATCCAGTGATTTAAATTTCAAAGCCCTGACACCCACAATGGAGCTTTTTCCTAGTAATAAGCCAAGGTCTGTCTTCATTGAAAACAATTCTGTAGACTCTTCAAAGTACAGTGGGGAAGTCCTGAGGCAGCCCACCTGCAAAAATCAATCCAAATTGGATCCAAAAATCAAAAAGACGCCAGAGAACTTCAGGAAAAAAAACCCGCAAGTTTATTTTAGCAGGCCAGCGACTAGCAGTAGCAGCTAGCAACTAGCGCGCTGACTGGGAGGGGTTTGGTGTATTTAAAGCCTAAAACTATAGGAATTTGCTTTGTTACATCTATCTTGAGGGACATCAGGTAATACTTACACAGCTGAGACCACATGGAAAAAACAGCTCTGGAGGGATGTTTCGAGGTTATTTACAACTCAGGAAGTTTCGAGGTTATTTACAACTCTGGGGGAAGTTTTGAGGTTATCTCTTGTCAAACATTCCTGGGAAATTTTAACCACAAGGGTTCAGTTACAGGTCAACAAGATTTAGCAAAGTTGGCACATTACAAAACAGTCAAAGCGGTGCTTAGGCTATAGCAAATAAAAGTTATTTTTTATAGCTTACAACAAGTCCCTGCAGAAACTGAACCATTGAAAATCACCATTCATGGGGCTGGAGATTTAGCTCAGCGGCATAAGTGCCTGCATTGCAAGCAGGCAGTCGTGAGTTCGATCCCTGGTACCTATAAAAACGAAAAAGACAAAAAAAAAAAAAAAAAAAAAAAAGAAAAGAAAATCACCATTCAATCCTTTAGAGTCTTCAGTCACAATTCAGTGAGAAATTTCGAGACAAATTTAAATGCAATTTGATGAACCTTGTAGAATAATGAAGGCCTGTGCTTGTCCCCAGAGGTATGCCACGAAAAGCAAACTTTCTCTTGGTCAATCCCATGGGCTTTTCCCTAGGTCAAGCTAGGACACCTACTAGCAATTTTCCTTTAAGGGGAAAATTCACAAAGGAACTCTTTCAGTGCTTGGTTAAACAAATACAAACCATTTGTATAAATGGTGCATATTTGTATAAATATGCACTTTGCTTTTCTGTTCATTTTTCTGTAAGATTTAATTAAACAAAATAGGTTTCCATGAATAGAAACCAATCTGTAGCATTGCATCCACTGGAAATGAAAGTTCTTTTACTGTTACCAACTTAATTCAGATACTTGCTAGGTTATATCTCTGGAGGCCCTACTGTGACCATTCCTATTATCTGCATCACTTACTGGCATCTTTGGTTAGAAACAGGTTTATTATATTTTATCTAACCACTGGTATATAATAAACAAACATATATTAAAAAATAATAAGATACTTGAGAGACAATAGTTTGTTAATGTAGACCAATCCCAGCACATATGCAGTACAGGTGACAGTCATATGTGTGTGTATTTTACATAAAAATTGCATGTTAGGCAAATGGTAATGTCTTGGTTACTTTTCTCTTCTTGTTGGGACAAAATATCTGACACCCAAAATAAAGGAAGGAAGCTTTATTTAGCTCAGAGTTTGTGGAAGTTTCAGTCCCTAATCAGCTGGTTCCAAGACAGGGTAGCATGACACAGCAACAGTGCTTCAATGCAGCAGCCAGAAAAAGCAGCAAGAGCAGAGAGGGGAAGAGCAAGCTTCTTTTTCCTCCTTGTATTGTACTCTAGCCACTCTGCTTCCACAGCAGGAGTAGGGCTCACAAGATCTCCTTGTCTTCCTCTTGAATGATATATTTACCAAGTAAGAATCCGCCTGCCTGCTGAGTCTCCCAGTTAAATTTATAAGCTTCTCAAGTTGACACAATGTATCAACCATAACAACCCATCCTTTGCCAACTTGGCAACCAGACGCATTTCTTTAAGACAGTTTCCAGATACAAGATGTGCTTATTCTTAACATTTCACAACTTGAACATTCTAACACAGGTTTTAACAATCTTTAAGAACCAGTATTATATCTATCAAGATTATATTACATTAGAATTATAACATTCCATCTCTGCCCGCCCCCCCCAATACTCATGCACATTTCTTTATGCAAAAGGCATTTAGTCCATTTGCAAAAGCTGCCAAAGGCCTAATCGTTTCAGCATTGCTGAAAAGTCCAAGTCCCAAGTCTCTTCTGAGATTTAAGGCAATTCTTAGTTGCAAGACCCTGTACAAATGAAAACAAAGTTAAACACTTTGAACACTCAATGGCAAGACAAACATATTCATTCCAAAAGTTAGGAGCACCAGGATACAAAGGATTGGGCAAAGGCATGTCCAAAATCAAGTAGGGGAAACATTAAGTCCTATATTTGTACATCTAGCATCTGAAGCAGTCTGTGGTAAATTGTGAGCTCCAAAGGCTTGTGTGACTCCACACTCGTGACACTTCTGGTGGTTGTAGCTCACACAGATTCTATTCTCTCCTAGGCCTGCTTTGCTCCCTCCTTGCACCTCCATGTTCCTGGCTTTTCCAAACTGCTAGGATCTCCATTCTATCTTTGGCCTCACACTAATATCTTCTCTCAGGGACCCACTGCCTGGCCTGTTAGGCCTTCTAAAATTGGAAGATTTTTAACCTCAGCACTCTTGACTTTTGTATGCACCTAAAAACAGCACCCCACGTGTAATGCCAAGGTCTGCCACCAACTGGAGCAGTACCAGTCTTTCTTCTCTCTTGGCTGTAGAGTACCTGGATTGCTGGTCACTCTGAATCCAATGAGGAGAAACAAATTTTCTATGCTGCTGCCATTCAGAACATGGTACTCTGTGGCTTTCACATCAAAAGCAAAGGCTTTCACTCTTGTAGTTTTGTGCTGCAAGAGTTTGAGATTTGCTGCTTTTTTGGGATGCCTGTAGGCCAATTTTTCTATTTTCCTGTTCCTTTTCAGCAGTCGAGATTTCCTCAGCTGTGTCTTTGCAAACTCACAAACTCCTGCTGGGCTCTTTGCTGTTGATTCACAACATAAATCTGGGTTAAATCCCCCTGAACAATAACCATCCACAGATTTAACATTTGACTGCCTTCAAATTTCTTCTGCCAGACTAAGTAGTCCACCTCCCTTAATCTTAGTCTCAAAGACTCTGGACATAGGAAAATACAGACAACTTTTTTCTAAGCCATGGCATACATCATTTGGTGTCCAGCACCCAATGCAGTTCTTTCCAACACAAATCTCCCAAGTCTGGTCTTTACTGGCAGGATTTCTATCAGTCTTCTGAGCGCTAACCAGGATCTCCAGGCAGAACAGGCTGGACATATCACAGACACTAGGGTAAACATCGATGAATCTCTGAGGAAAATTGTTTTAGTGATATTTTTGGAGGAGATGATACATATTTTGATGAATCCTAATGTTTTTATTCTCTGAAAAGTCAGCAGTGAAACATTTGATGGAATTTTGCCTTTATAACAATAAGTATGTATTTTTATAAAGTGACCATATTAATTTTCAAAGATATTTCTAAGTAAACATAGATTAGCAGAGTAATTTTTCTTGCTACTAGTGATAAAGTTATACATGCTCAGTCCCTTGTGTAAAGGAGGGCTCGCGGCTGGTGGGCACATGGGATGACTTGCAGGTGCCGGAGGCAGGGACCCTCAAGCTTGTACCGCGAGACAGACAGAAATGGCCAAAAGTGATTCTCTGTTTGACAGGAGATATTTGCCTGACAGATGCCAATATCCTTTGTGTAGTATTGAGGATTGTGCTGTGAAATGGAGATGATAATTTGCAGGTTTACATCTAACAAGGTTTAACCTCAATTTAGAAATCCACATTTGCAGAAAAACATTATTATTTCCAAATGCCATGTATTCACAGGAATCCAAGGTTTTGATTTCCTAGTTTAATTCCACTTTAATATTTGCTTATTTCCTATTTTTCCTGGAAGTGTGAATTTTCTCTCAAATATTAATAAATAACTAATAAATAATGAAAAAATATTTCAAAATTATAATATGATTTTTAACCAGAGGTTCATTTCTGCTTCTGTAATAGTCATATACTAAGTCCTTAAGAAGATAACGTTTTTTATTTATTATAGAAATACATTAATCTATCACTATATATTTGAACCAATTATTATAGTTTTTAACTTTTTAAAAGAATTTCATTTCCTTTGTTTTTATGACTATATTATGCATATTTTATGAGCATATTAAATATAATTAATAAGTCACTTGAGACTTTTCTACTATCTGTTCAGTTTTAAAAATATGAGTTGAACACAAGTACAAAATTGCCTATTATATATTTCTCTTTTTTTTTACTTTAGTGTGATTTATGATAGACTGATACAGGTTAAAATCTGTGAATAACTGTGTCTATTAAAATATCTTAAATTACTGACAAGCTTACTATGTGTATTTCAGGACATTAGTAGTCACTCATAAACTATATATATTATTTTATAGTTGATCATATATTTCTTTATAAGATAATGTATTGTGCCTTAAATTTAATACTGTTCCCACCTTTTTTCTTAATCTAGGGCATGCTTCCCACTTACTTATTTTGATGGAGTTTAGAACCATTTTGTGGGGAGGAGGTTGTATGACTCTAGTAAAGAGCAGGTAAATGTCAGTCTCACATAAACTCAACTGTTAACTTTTCATGCATGCAGACTGCATTTGTTAGTATGACACATTTATTGTTAATTACTTCTTATGCTTGACACATAGTGTTAACTGAGATGTTTAGAAGTTTAACTAGGAGACTTAGCAGAGAGCCAGGATCCTTATTTGTAAACATTCCCATCCTGTGCAAGAGGAGGGCAAACAGAGGTTGTGAGCAGTACTCCTGCCCTGTAGGATGGGTGGCCAGTGTACAAAAAGAGGCTTGCTCTCCTTACTTTTTCTTCTCGTTGCTTTTGCTGACTCCTGCCTTGAAGTGTTGCCCCTAGGCCATGCTGCCTTGCCTTGGAACCAGCTGATTATGGACTGAAACTTCCACAAACTGTGAGCTAAATAAACTCTCCCTTCCATGATTTTGGGTGTCAGATATTTTGTCCCAGAAACGAGAGAAAATAACAAAGACAGAATTTGGTGCAAGGAAAATGAGGTTGTTGCTGCAACTAAACCTGACTCTGTGGTTCATGAACCTTTGTGAATGACTTGTGGGAAGAGTTTGGAAACATTTAGAGACGTCATCTGAAAGCATAGGGCTGTCTCTACTGTGATGATGGTTAGCATGGCTTCTGTTCACTCTCAGATCATGTAAGATATACATCTCACAATCATCTTGCATCTCTCAAATGAACCTGAAACTCCGTAATACCTGTGTTCCAAATCCAGTCA